CGGATATCCCAGCAGTCAGCAGCCTGGTTGATAGCATCCACAATGTTGGCATTCAGGGACTCGCGCTCCCGAAAAACTTTGTCCAGGGAGAGTTTGCCAAGCTCTGATCTCATAGTCGTCTGAGCTAACTGGGTGACAGCGTACTCAGGGTCTTCCACACCATAACTTGCCTTGTAAGGATCCGTGATGCGCAGATAAAGGACTCCATCTATTTGCAGAGTGACATTGTCAAGAGTTACAGCTGACTGCTCAGGCACGTTGATAACAATTTCCTTGAGACTCTGCACATACCGGATTCTGTCTAACACGGGGATGAGGATGTTCAAGCCAGGTTCCAGGATCCGGTGGAATTGGCCCATTCGCTCCACCACCCAGGCCTCCTGCTGAGGCACAAACAGTATCACGGTGTTTCGGGGCAGTCCAGAAGAGGCGCGACGGAACACGGCCAGAAGCCTGCACGGAGCCCCTCAGCAAAAGGGCTCCAGTGCCCCGCGCCGCACACGCAAGCATTTCCCCACAGCTCCAGTGACCTCCGGAACCAACGAGTGGTGGAGCAGAGCGGCCTCTCGTGAAGCCTGAACCCGGTTCTTAATTTTTGTAATTACACTTTTATACTTGTTCTCATTGTAAATAGTTGATGATGTCAGAGAAAGAGCCTTTTATAGGACTAAAGGGGGCAATGTTGAGGTATTGCTGTTGTACACTGTGTGAAGATGAGTCTCCGTCCTACCTTGCCTACCTAAAGCACATTCCGAGTGGTAAAATAAAAGGCCTATGTCCTATAGTAAAGGAGAGTAGAAGGCAGGACTCAGATCAGAGAGAGGAACTCTGGGAAGAGAGAAGCATGGGGGATTCACCACGCACACTCGGAGGAAGCGGGATGTGTGAAACTGAGGAGAGGTGACCAGCCACATGGCAGAACTTAGAATAGTATAAATGGGATAACTGAATTATGAGATAGCTGGGAACAGGTCTAGCATAAAGCCTAGGCATTCATAAATAAATGTAAGTCTGCTGTCATTATTCAGAGCAAGGGCGGGCCAGCAGGAATGTCCCACAGATGCAGCAAGAGCAAGCAGACAAAGAGCAAGCCTTTCCTTCCATGTCTTCATGTAGGCTTTCAGCAGAAGGTGTGGCCCAGATTACAAATGGGGGAAGGGTTCAGTCAAATATTCTGGATTACAGGTGTGTCTCCCTACCTCAAAAAGGATTGATCAGAAATCGATCTTCCCATTTCACATTAAGCAAAAACACCTCACAGATGTTATCCTCCATTTTGGGGTTTTAGTTAATCCCACATGTAGCTGACATCAAGGAATCAACATCACAGTCCCTGTCAGAGTTCTGGAACTGCTCTGTTTGGGGCTTTGCAGCTCCTTTTAGCACTCATGGCTCTGCCTCCTGCCTCCCCTCTTACAGGGAGTTTTCTTCCTACGGGTGGAAAAGCATGGAAAGTTCTTCTGGATGTAAGTTTGATGAGCACAGGGCAGCATGAGACCTGAGACCCCGGGACAGCTCAGCCAGCCTGGATCCCCTTTACCCTCAGCAATGTGGGCTCAGTCTGAGTCCGCTGTGGTTCTTCCACCAGGGGGCGCTGTTGCACAGAAACGTGATGCTTCTCTTTCATCTTCAACAGGTGAGACCCTGGAGGGTCTGCAGTGGGAGGGAAGATGGGGAAAGGGGACACTTTTCTCTGCAGGAACGCTCTGGATGTTGGGATGTCATGATCTGTTACAAGTTAGCTTTCAAATGAGTGGAATTTATCTTGTTCATCTGGAATAAAAAACGAACATTACCTCAAGTGCAAAGATGAACACACACTGTATCTTCTTCCTAGGATGAGGCTGTGATCCACTGTGCACAGTAGGTCCATAAAATAAAATATATTTTGCATTTTTAATTTTATGGGGTTTTTGGAAATCGTCATCTCAGTATGCTCTATTTGAATCACCCCTTCCTATCCTGCTACAGAGCTCTCTTCATTGGCTGGTGGTACAGTATTGTCTAAACAGCCCTGTGCCCTCAGCCCCTGGCCTCACACTCTAGATGGGGAGGAGAAAGAGAGGAATGGTTGGATCATTTTACAAAGTGTACTGTTTTATTTTATTTTCATGAGATGTACTCATTTTTGCATATGAGTATGTAGGTGCACCAGCATTGGATCCCTCGGGAACTGAAGTTACAGATGGTTGACAGCCCCCATGTGCTGATGGAACTCATCCTGAATCCTCTGCAACAGCAACAAGTGCTCTTAGCCTCTGAGCCATCTCTCCAGCCACTATTGGAATGTTTACATAAGGAAACCACACAGCTGATTCACAGCATGCTGCCTGAGAACTGTGAGAGAAACTAGAGGGACAAGAAAAGACAGGGTCAGTGCAGAGCTCAGGAGGGAGGGGTGCTGGGCACTGATGGGGTGAGGCCTGAGGGACAGAGACAGAGAGGGGTGGAGCAGGAGGAGACAGAGGCAAAGGGGGAGATGCTAACTCAGCAGAGTCTCCTGTTTGAGGGTATTTCTGTCAGACAGCACTGGGCACAGCTGCAGAGCCCTGATGGTATCTTACATTTCATAGTGAACGCTGTGCTGGTTGGAATGAGAACAGCCACACAGGCTCACAGGAATGAATACTTCAGATCTAGCAGATGGAACTGTTTAGAAAGGATTGGCATGTATGGCCTTGTAGGAGGATGTGTGGAGGATGCCACTGGGTTAGAACTGAGGTTTTAACAGACTTCCACTATTACCAGTGTCTCAGCCTGGTGCTTGCAAAACAAGTCTTGAGTTCTCAGCTGTTCCTCCACCACACCTCTCCTCTGCCATCATGGACTCAAACCCTATGAAACAGGAGAAGAGATTAGATATTTCCTTTTATAAATTACCTTGGTCACAGTGTCTTATCACAGCAGTAGAAAAGTAACTAAAGCTAGTGTGGTGACACATGCCTTCCATCCCAGTGTGGTGGACTGAATAGGTGGTTCCCATAGACTCATGTGCTTGAAAGCTTGGCCCATAAAGAGTGGCACTATTAGGAGGTGTGGCCTTGTGGAAATAGGCATGGCCTTGTTGGAGAAAGTGTGTGACTGTGGGGGTGTTCTCTGAGGTCTCATATGCTCATGCTCTGCCCAGTGTGGAATGAGAGCCTCTTCCTGGCTGCCTTTGGATCAAGATGTAGAAGTCTCTGCTCCTCTAGCACCATGTCTATCTGCACACTGGCATGCTTCCTGTTATAATGAACTAATTCCCTGAAACTGTAAGCCAGCCCTATTAAATGTTTGCCTTTAGAATGGTTGCTTTGCTCCTGGTGTTTTTACACAACAATAAAGGCCAAACTAAGAAACCCAGCATTTGGGTTGGAAAAGCAGACGTATTTCATTGACTTCAAGGTCAAGATTGGTCTGCATAGTAAGGTCTAGGACAAAACTGTGCAGACAGACCTTGTCAAAAACAAAACAAAACAGAATAAATAAGAGAACAGAGACAGATCCTTTCTGCAGATCTGCTTATTCCCCAAAACATCCTTAGGTAAGTCGAGATGAAATCTAAGAGCATCAAGTTCCCATGGAAAATACTCACAGCACCTAATAAGAGTGGTTCACGGAAACAGGTTCTGCTGAATCCTGGTGGGGCTGCTGGGCTGCTGTGGAGACCTGCATGGGGAGGTGACTGGAAGTCACACCTGTGGTCACACATATTTGTTGCTCTGTGTGATGAGTGACTCTCATCAGGAGTCCCCGCCCACCTCTGCTCTTCTTTCCTATTCAGTTCTGTGGCTGAGGTGTGAAGAGATCCACAGAATCAAGAAATGTATAAATTTAATCTTTCCCCACACTACTGATCGGGATGAAACCTCACATCACCAGTGTGTACTCTCTGCCATGAGAATCATCTTTCTTCCAGTGTCCACACTGCACAGGCCTGAGGATGATCACATCTGGTGTCCCCAACACCTGTGACATTCATGACCTCATCAGCTCATAGTGTGAGTGAAGGTCAGAGAGGGACTAAGAGGGTCACAGATTACATAACTTCTACCACACTATCATTATTCTGTGTTATAGTTAATTACAGTTCCTCTCCTACTGTGATTTAGTCACTAAAGCAACTGTACCATGGAAGTGGGGACACAAGGAAAGTCCAGTGTAGACCGGGATCTGTGTCCTGCTCTATGTGGTCTCCACATGGGTCTCTCTTCAGTAGACAAGAGGGTCTACTGTTCTGAGACAATGACCCAGGTCCACATGGTCAGTCTTAAGACACAGAATGAAGATTCTTGTTTAAAAAAAAATACCGACCTGGAGCCACAAACTCGTCATCTAGGAAGTAACACGAGGAATCTGTGTCTAAGCACAGGGCTGAGAAAATAGATTCTGAGGGAAGAGACCAAGTCTCCTCTTTACTCATGAGAGTCCTGCACACAGGCTTGTGTGAGCCCAACACTGCAGGTGAACAAAGGCTGGTCTCTGTGGAGTCCATGTGTGGCTTGCGGGACAGTGCCTCTGTTGAAGGAGAAGCATCTCTCCACTGCATTCTCAACTGCTTGTGTTGTCATTGTATTCCTGGAAGTGGCTTTTCTTCTAGAAGACTCCAGGGTCTGACTTCTGAAGAGAAGAAGGAAGAGGAAGGGTGGAGGAGAGGACACAGAGAGTCTGGCCTGCGGGTCTCTTCTGGTGTCCAGACAGCACCTGGGTCAGAACTCTGAGACGCCATGACAAATGACGCTTTGTTGACAGCACAGGGTTCAGGCAAAGTCTTAGTCTCCAGGCGGTGAGGTCAGGGGTGGGGATGCCCAGAGATGGGGATTCCCCATCTCCCCAATTTCAATTCTGTTCCTAACCTAGGACAGGTCCTTCTGCCCAGATGCTGATAATGCAATGGCACATTGCCCTGATAATGCATCTGGTCACATTGGTGACCAGATCCTGGGGAACCAAGCAGCGTCGCCTCGGGCTCTGGTTATAAAGTCCACGCAGGCCACGGGACTCAAACACCCTGATCCCAGATGGGGGTGATGTCGCCGCGCACACTGCTCCTGCTGCTGGCGGCCTCCCTGGCCCCGACCAAGACCCGCGCGGGTAAGTGCGGGGTCGAGAGGGAAACGGGCTCTGTGGGGAGGGGCAGGGGCGGCACCGGGGAAGCCGGGTCCCTGTGCCATCTACTGAACCCTCCGCCCCTTCTCCACCCGCGTCCCGAGCCCCGCGCCCTGCTCCCCTCCCGGCCTGTGCACCCTCCCGGGGTCCCCGGAGGAGGTCGGGGTCTCACCGCGCGCCGCCCGCAGGCTCACACTCGATGCGGTATTTCCACACCTCCGTGTCCTGGCCCGGCCTCGGGGAGCCCCAGTACATGGAAGTCGGCTACGTGGACGACACGCAGTTCGGGCGCTTTGACAGCGACGCGGAGAATCCGAGGATGGAGCCGCGCGCGCCATGGATGGAGCAGGTGGGGCCGGAGTATTGGGAGCACCAGACACGGATCGTCAAGAACAGGAAGCAGTGGTACCGAGTGAGCCTGAGGACTATGCTCCACTACTACAACCAGAGCGAGGACGGTGAGTGACCCCGGGTTGGAGGACACGACCCCTCCACGTAGCGACACAGGGGCCAGGGAGGTTCGGGTTACAAGTCCGAGGTTTGGGGACAGAACTGACCTGGGACTGGTTTCTCTTTCAGTTTGGAGAAGTCCGCGGGTGGGCGGGGCTGACCGCAGGGTCCTGTAGGCTCTCTCATAGGCTCCAGCACATGTATGGCTGTCATGTGGGGTCCCTGAACGAAGACCTGAAAACGTGGACAGCGGCAGACATGGCAGTGCAGATCACCCGAAACAAGTGGGAGCAGGCTGGTGCTGCAGAGGGAAAGAGGGCCTACTTGGAGGGCGAGTGCGTGGAGTGGCTCCGCAGATACCTGGAGCTCGGGAAGGAGACGCTGCTGCGCACAGGTGCAGGGGCCGCGGGCAGCTCCTCCCTCTGCCCTCGGGCTGGGGCTCAGTCCTGGGGAAGAAGAAACCCTCAGCTGGGGGATGCCCCTGTCTCAGAGGGGAGAGAGTGTCCCTGGGTCTCCTGATCCTCATCACAGTGACTGCACTGACTCTCCCAGGGTCAGCCTTCTCCCTGGACAGTTCCCAGTCTGTCTCAGGAGGGAAGGAGAGAATTTCCAGACTTAACAGCAGGGGCTCCCTGCTGTCAGCCATGGCCTCTCCCAGGCCAGGTTCTCTGCCCGCGCCCACTGTATGTGGACACTGACTCCTGTCATGCTGAGTGTGTCAGCCCTTACACCTAAGGACCAGAAGTGTCTTTTACCTAATAGGAGACATGGACTCCCCTACACTATGATGGTTCCCCAGTTTCTAGAACTTTCCAAAGAATACATTCTCACAGATCTCTCCCTGTCTGTGAGATTTGCATCCCTTTAACAACCCAACTCTATCTATTCCTACAGTGGTGAAGGTCACATGAGCCTTTAGGGGTACCCTGGAGGAATGTAAACTGTGGAATTTTTTTTCTTTTTTTTCTCTTTTCTTTTTCTCATTTCTTACCTTCTTTTGTTTTGGCATTATTTTGCTCTTGGTCAGTTTTTGTCTGCACTGGAGTGATCCTGTTTCTCCATGCCCTTGTATTACTATTTGTATCAGTTTCCACAGACTAGATGATTGGACAAGTTAATTCAGGGTTTCCACTAAAGGAGAGATTCTTGTGAATTTAGACTGTTTCCTGTCAGAACTAAACATCCAGAAGCCTCCTGCTCTTCCTCTGTTCCCACAAGTTACAGTGCTCCCCCTAGTGAATCAGGAATTGAACTTTCTGAGAGAGGTCTTCTGCAATCCAGAGCTGGAGAGGGAAGATCCACACACCCTGTGAGCCCACTGTGTTCCAGTGAGTGCTGCACTGGGGTCCACAGCACACTCCAGGGATCCTGTGTAACACACCTGTATCTTGTCACCCCAGAGGCAGGGGCTGGGAGTCATTTTCTCTGCCTGAGTCTCAGAGGTTCACCACATTTCTGCTATACACTTTGTGATGGCTGCTCACTTGGACTGACATTTAGGCTGTTCAGCAAGATGACCACAGTGGTTGAGTCTCAGTGGTAGCCACCTTCCAGGAGCATATGGCCATAATTTCTAATTTTGATATGAACTCAAACACATATATAAATTATATATTACCATTCCATCTTCCATTCTTTGACTACCTATCTCATGCTATAGAACATCACATAAGGTTGGCCATGTAACCCACTGGCTTGTATGGATTCTCTGCTAGCTTCTGAGTCCCCCAGAAAATGTGCAGTTCTGTGCTGAGTAGACCAGCTCTGCCTGCAGGTCACTAGTGTGATGACAGTTGAAATGTCAAACACAAACATAGTTCAGTGTCCTCATTGATTTAACCGTGTCTTGTGTAAATTTCAGTTTGTCTTGTTAATTGTATGATTTCTTAAATCCTCCACACAGATCCCCAAAGGCACATGTGACCCATCACCCCAGATCTGAAGGTGATGTCACCCTGAGGTGCTGGGCTCTGGACTTCTACCCTGCTGACATCACCCTGACCTGGCAGTTGAACGGGGAGGAGCTGACCCAGGACATGGAGCTTGTGGAGACCAGGCCTTCAGGGGATGGAACCTTCCAGAAGTGGGCATCTGTGGTGGTGCCCCTTGGGAAGGAACAGGATTACACTTGCCATGTGTACCATGAGGGGCTGCCTCAGCCCCTTACCCTGAGATGGGGTAAGGAGGGTGTGGGTGCAGAGCTGGGGTCAGGGAAAGCTGGAGCCTTCTGCAGACCCTGAGCTGGTCAGGGCTGAGAGCTGGGGTCATGACCCTCACCTTCATTTCCTGTCCATGTCCTTCCTAGAGCCTCCTTCATCCACCAATTCAAACATGATAATCATTGCTGTTCTGGTTGTCCTTGGAGCTGTGGCCATCATTGGAGCTGTGGTGGCTTTTGTGATGAAGAGGAGGAGAAACACAGGTAGGAAAGGGCAGGGTCTGAGTTTTCTCTCAGCCTCCTTTAGAAGTGTGCTCTGCTCATTAATGGGAAACACATCCACACCCTGCATTGCTACTGTCTCCAACTGGGTCTGCTGTCAGTTCTGGAAACTTCCTTGTGTCAAGATCTTCCTTGAACTCTCACAGCTTTTCTTCTCACAGGTGGAAGAGGAGGAGACTATGCTCCAGCTCCAGGTTAGTGTGGGGGACAGGATTGTCCTGAGGCCATTGGAGTGAAGCTGGGGATGGTGTGAGCTCTGGGAATCCATAGTAGTTTCTCCAGAGAAATCTTCTGGGGGCCTCAATTGTACCTTGATATGAATACAAACATATACAATACATCATTTACATATCATTTACGTGTCATTTACATGTCATGTGCATATCATATGCATATCACATACATATCATATACATATCACATACATATCATATACATATCACATACATATACATATCATATACATATACATGACATATGCACATATACATTTATTTTGTTTTACCCTATGCAGGGACACCTCCCAGAGCTCGCCCGCGCTCTCTCTCTCTCTCTCTCTCTCTCTCTCTCTCTCTCTCTCTCTCTCT